TTGGCACCTGGTGGGTTGAGACATTGCTGAACAGTCTGCCACACATATGGAGAACTTTCAGGTCGAGGTGTCAGTGTTCCAGAGGTTAATGGAGTCTTCCATTTGGCTGGGGTAGGTGGGCAGTGGGATGCTCAAGCCCTTATGTGGGATTAGAAACCTGAGAGCCTGGATGTGTATGTAACTCCTTGGGATAGATTTGTGTATCATGCACAAGGCCCTAAATTTAATTCCAAGTGTAAACAATAGACAAACAAAATAAGAGCCCCTCTCCCAAGCCTCCATTCTGAAGGGAAGGAGGCTGTCTGGTTACATAAAGTACACGCAGTTCTTGCTCAAAGATGTGATTGATCATCAGGTCTGCAAGGAGAGATGTAGGCTGTGACTTAGCCAGTACTTTCTTCAAGGTGGACCTGTACCCAGCCGGATGCTGATGATGGCATTGATGTCAGATCCTGGCCTCTGGATTTCACCATCTTGGCATCTGTCTCTGAGATTTTTTTTCACTAGGACTTGGGTCCAAGGCAGTGATGTGTACTTGATGGAGTATCTGATAGTGAACCATAGTGAACAAGGCAAACAGTATCAAAGCACTACTGGATGAAGAGCATATGTGTAATAAATAGCATAAGCATGGCTTGCAGAAATGAAGGTCTACATGCAAAGAAACCATAGTGCCCATCTTAAAGAGCATGTAACGCGACAGGGAATATTAAACACGTTTGCAGGTACTCTTGGACACTGGCTGGGAAAGAAAGAATGAAACACTAAGAGCCAGGTCTTGTGTGGATCACTGATGGGTGTGTACTGTGTTCTGATGGGGGCACGCTCAGATTCTGCACTAGCAGTGGGAGTAAAGAAGTAAAAGGAAGGAGATAGAAATTGCCTATAGAAGCTGATAAGCAAATGGTAGCAACAACTAAAATAATGTATTAACTAATTTAATGATTATGAAAACGGGGGTCAAACTACTAGAAATTCTACAAAATTAGTTTTTAAAATCTCATCCCTTTTTCCTTCCAATGGTGGAGAGAGTTCATGACCGGGCTGCACATTCATTGAAATGGGATCTCATCATGTAGTCCAGGTTGGCTTAGAACTTGTGTATTCTGGGCTGGTCTCACAGCCCCAATCCTCCTGTCTTGGCCTCCTCACTACTGGGTTTACAGGTATGCTTCAAACCAGACTCCATCCATCCAGAAGAACATGAAACATTCTCTCAAGGGAGCAGGCAGGGAGACATTCCTGGATAGGTCAGGGAGAGAAGGTAGTCTATAGGATCATCCCCACAGGAAGGAAATGAGGGTGAGAGAGACTTGAAGCAGCCGGGAGGGATGACTGTGATGTTTCTGTGGACTTTGGCCACCAGGCATTGACATCCTATCTCCGTGTAGTCCCTGATACCTACATTCTGATGATTGAGTGTCCAGCTACCAAGCAGCTGTTGCTGTCTCTTCCTATGGGATTCCTGGGCACCCTTCAGGAATTCCCTGTCTCCTAGCTGAACAGAGATCCGGCTCTGAATTTGACTGAATGAACCAAGATGACCCTTCTCACAAGCTCATTATCACCACACTCTCTTTTTTTTTTCAGCCCATGCATCTTTCAAAAGCGCTTTCTTGAAGGAATGGAAATATTCCTCCCTCCTGTCCAGAGGAGGATCTGCTGACACCCTGGCCTGACCACGGGTCACAAGTCTTACTTTCCAGCTGTGGGCGAGCGAGAGCAAGCAAGCCTCCACCCCTGAGTGACTTCAGCCCGGAAGATCCCGAATTGTTCTGCAGCCTTTTCAGTGTGGGTTGACGTCATGAGTAGAGATGGCAGCCGGCCTTGGGAGGTTCTTAGGGAACAGTGTGTCACCGTTCTTTCCCACTTAGTGAGGCCTTTCTCTCCCTCTCTGATCATGGAAAGGGTACATTTGCCAAGCTGAGTATTTAGAATTCCAGATGCTAAATTCTTGGGAGTGACATAAAACTTGTAGAGCATTGAAATTATTGCCAACCCTGAGTAAGTCTGTGTGTGCATGCACATGTGAGAGTGTGAGCACACAAGTGTGTGTGTGTGAGCACGCATGCTCATGTGTGTGCATGCTCATGTGTGTGCATGCTCATGTGTGTGCATGCTCATGTGAGAGTGTGAGCACACAAGTGTGTGTGTGAGCACGCATGCTCATGTGTGTGCATGCTCATGTGTGTGCATGCTCATGTGCGTGCATGCTCATGTGTGTGCATGCTCATGTGTGTGCATGCTCATGTGTGTGCATTCACCTGGGGAGATCAGAGGTCTCACTGTCCTGTGTTTTCTTTAATCAGACTCCACTGTACTTTCTTGAGACAGGATTTCTGAGCGAGCCTGGGCTCACCAGCTAGAATGTTTGACTGACCAGCAAGCCCCAGGGATCCTTCTACCTCTGTCTCCTAGTCCTGGGATTACAGGTATGTGCCTACTATGTGGGTTCTGGGAGTCAAACTCGGGTCCTCACGCTTGATTGACACGCACTTAACCGAGCCATTTCCCCAGCCACCAAGTTTCTAAATCTGTGTAGAGACTCCTTCAGGTCTCCTGATCCTCCCGTTTGTAATGCGAAAGGGTAAATGTGATCACGTTTACAGAAACTTATTGGGAATTGTGCAATTTGATTAAGGTTGTAAATGCGTGCTGATGATACTGTCTAAGGATGCCCTCCTGTGGGAGCTGAAGCTGACTTCATGGTGGCGAAACTGACATTCACAAGAGCTTGTATTATTTGAGCTCACAGAAGGGAGTTCTTTTCTGAGTGAGCGCCAAGCCTGAGAGCTGACCTTGACTTTTGGGGCATTGAGACTTTCTGTGGATTTCATCGATGATACTCACTTGGAATCTCTCATAGGGCAGACTTAATTTAGACTCTACCATTTTCTTAATAAAAGACAATTTAATCTGAGGAGATTTTTACAATTCTTGCTGTGTTGGGATTTTTTAAAAAATATTTATTTATTTATTTATCATGTATACAATATTCTGTCTGTGTGTATGTCTGCAGGCCAGAAGAGGTCACCAGACCTCACTACAGATGGTTGTGAGCCACCATGTGGTTGCCGGGAATTGAACTCAGGACCTTTGGAAGAGCAGGCAGTGCTCTTAACCACTGAGCCATCTCTCCAGCCCCGTGTTGGGATTTTTAAATGAAGATTTATTTATTTTTATTTTATATATATAAGTGAGTGTTTTGTCTGTATGTCTAGGGCACCACATGTGTGCAGTGCCCATGGAGACCAGCGGAAGGCATTGGTTCTTCTGGAACTTGAGTTATAGACCAGTGTGAGCCACCACATGGGTGCTGGGTACCAAACCCAGGCTCTCTGTAAGAGCAGCAATTGCTCTTAACCACTGAACCATCCATCTCTCCAGCCCTTGTGTTTGAGTTTTGAAAATAATAGATTATAGAGTGTTCTCACACAGGTTGCACCGAATCTAAAACGGGGTGGGAGGTATATGAATGAAGGTGGATTTAAAATCAATTTTGACTGAAGTCGTGTTTGCTGAGAACACGGTAATACATGGTCTCTTTATGGCTTCAAAGACATCAAGCCTGGTTAATGAACGACGAGTGCGTGCAAAAGGAATATTGAAAAGCCAGCAGTGAAGACTGGCTGAAGTTCTGAGACCACAAGGTCACCTTTGAAGATCCGCTGGCCTTCCTCAGGACTGGGTGTCCATTCTTGGCCCTGACCACAGGAAGAAGAGCAGTTTGGCTCTGGAATGCTTAGCACTCACCATCCTGATTCTCAAGAGCAAGCTGTTGTTGTTTCCTAATGGATGCCAGCTTGAGGGATGGCTTTGGAGTCAAAGTACTGGGCTCAAGCCAATGAACTTGGCACCTTGCCCATAGGTGCACAGTCTGAGAGAGGGAGGCCACTGAAGGTTGGGGAGGAGCAAGGATGCTACTGGGACCTTTGGCCTCCTTTGTGGCCTACTTACCACTCTCTAATCCTTTCTTTCCTGCGTTTTGTAAGAAGCCAGTAATCCTCATGAGGATAAGTGAGACGGTGACTTTATCCCCATCTCTGATGGCAAATTCCATCGGATCTAGACCCGAGTCCTTAGTCCTGAGGTCAGAACTCTCCGAGGAAATAAAAAAAAATATTCAGGGGATCGAGAACCCCATCCTTGGAGCCTAGAGTATGCAATGACCTTGTTATAATCTGGAAGTTTGTTAGAGACACAGCTCTCACCCCCCAGAATAGCATCTGGAGTTTGGGGCTGGGAGAACATGGGCAAAGCCAGTCATGAAGTGATGTCTTCTATTTCCAAGGTGGTCCCTACAGTGGGTGCCAATGCTCCTCCTACAGTGGAAGATTGGCTTCTCGACTTTTAAGTAGCAGGATCTATGTTCCTGCACTTCAACCTGGGTGATTTGAAGATGACAATAAGTATGGCTTGGGTCACTTCTGAGGCTTCTTCAAAACAAACAATATGGCTCCTGGAATACTCTTTCTTAGCTCCCAGCTGTTGGACCATGAGGAAATCCTGTCTGCACACAGGTGTTCCACCCAACGACCTCAACTCCTGCCTGTCAGGGGACCCCAAGGGCCAGACAAATGAACAAGGAAGTCTTTGAAATAACATCCACGGCTCAAGTTCAGCTTCCCATGAGACTCTGAGCAAGAATCACCTTGCTGAGGCCCTGCAAACCCCCTCAAATAGTCAGGACATGAATGCCATCACCTTAAGTTTTGGGGGATAATTCCTTCTATACTGATAGGTGGTCATTCTATTTCTCTGACCAAAGGATGGTATGGGTTTTTGACCCAGAATTGGCCAGAGATACATGAGGTGGGTCTGTGGGACTTACATCTGGGGATGTTGTCTTTGTCTCTTGGGATGACAAAAGAAGGAGTACCCCTGCATCTCTGCTGGTGCAGTTACCTTTTCCGTATCATATTTTATGTGATCATCTTGCTGCCGGCCCAAGGATAAAGTCAGTTCCAGAAAGCACAACCAAGAGATGGCAAGAGTTGGGTTTATATACTTACATGTGTGATTAAAATTCTTTTGATCAAGGAAAGGCTATGAATAGCTTCTGAGACCAGGGTACAGACAGAAAAGAAATCACGATGGTGGTACAGTGTTGGTACATTCCCCCATACCCTCATGGGAGAAGAAAGGATCCCAGACTCATTGCTAGGGAAGTGTGCATGGCCGGTTCCAGGGTGGGAACCTCCTGCCTCCCTTGACTTGCCAGCTCAGTCTCAGGCTGAGGATGGCCTGCTATAATAATATCATAGTCAACAGTCCGCTTGCAGTTAGGACTAAATTCTATTATCTTCCCCATGTGTACAAAAACAAGCCTGGTACAGTGACAAAGAAAGTGTTTTAGAGAGAGAAAAATTCATCTTAGGTGTTAATAACATTCACAAAACTTGGAGTCAGTCATGTCTAAACATTTGTCCGGCTTGAAAACCCCACTTTGTCTTTTCCAAACAGAGCCTCGCAAGCGGCGACAAAAGCGGATGGCGATCATCACGAGGTGCCGATGGAGTGGGAGGCTGGGACCTGCCTGTCGCTCTCAGTTCACAGGCAGATACGAAAACTGGCGTACAAGAACAATGTGGACCAAATCATTAGAGGTGTGGGTGTGGGCGTGGAGAGTGGGCTTGGAAACACTCTCAGCTGAGCTTCTCAGAATAGAAGGGGTTGCCCAAGGATTCGCAGTGAGTCAGTGGCTGAGCCCGGAGACAAAAATCGGCTTCTCTCATCTTCCCCATCCACTATGCTGTGAAACCAAGGGGCTGAACTGTTACGAAGCACCCTGCATGTGAGGGGCTGAGTGGTGACCTCCCTCAGATTTGTTCTCCAAGACCCCAGTCTGCAGTACCTCAGAATGTGGATATATTTGTATATGGGTACTTGAATGATTATATTAATAGTGATCATCAAATTTATTGGAATGAGCTCTAACCCATAATTGATGACTTTAAAGTTTTTTGAAACAGAGTCTCACATAGCCCAGGCTGGTATCAAACTAGCTATGTAGGTGAGAGTGACCTTGAACTTCTGCCTCTACATTCCAAGTGTTAGGAATACAGATGTGTGCCACCACACCAGGATTATATAGTGTCAGAGGTTGAATCCAGGCTTCATGCATGCTAGACAAGTGCTCTAACTGAGCTAATATCCCCAGCCCCTGGTGTCCTTTTAAGAGGTAATTTGGATATACCACACACACACAAAGTCTCAGAGGCACATGGGCACACAGCAAGAAGGTAGCTATCTCTAAGCCAGAGGAAACGCCCCCCAGATCAGTCCTTATGGCCTCCTCCAAGCTGACTCATCCAGGGATCTTCAGTAGCCACCAGCTGTGTGGTTTCCTGTGACACTTGCCAGAGCCTGCGAGTTACCCGCTGTGGCTTTGTGTGTTTGGGGACATTTGGCGTCTTAAAGAGAGCGAGGCAAAAGTGGGCATGGCAAAAATACACAGCAAAGAGCTCCACATCCGTTTGCCTCTCCAAACTCGCTGGATAAACAATGGTCAAGCTGCACCGACACCTGGAGAACTATGGGGGTTTACGGGGTTTCCCGGAAGCTGCTTGCAGCCTCCCAGCTCAGCTTCCCCACCAGGAGAGCAGGGTCACATTGTCTGGCCTTCTGCAGGCATGTGATCTGTCCACATATGTCACATAGCTGGGAAGCAGATGCTTCCCCCTGCTAGGATTAAATTGGCAACCCCCACATGTTCACAGACATCCTTGGCAAGGCAGCTGGATCAGCTGGAATCTGGCTTGTTTGGGCTCAAAACGCACCGTGTTGTCAAACCCGGCTGGCAGCTCCAGTGTCCTTAGGTGGCACAGACACTTGTCCACACAACTAGATCTTAGAACCTTGGATGGACGCACGGTCCTTGAGTCAGGGACAATGACCCCAGGGTTGGACACAATGCTTGGAGCTCTGAACACAGAACTATCAAATTCTTGAGTTCTTGTCATCTGTCACTTCTTTGGGTTAAGGCATCAAAAGCCCCTGTGGAATGCCTTATCAAGGGGCTGTGTGGATTAAGACATCTTCAGCCGTTAACACCTTGGTGACTTCATTGGCATCGCTGAATACTTTACCTTAGTCCCTGATCAGGGCGGCTGCATTCTGGAAGGATGAAAGACAGAAAGTCCATGGCCTTGGGGAGAGTGTCACACAGAGAGATGTGTTTTGTGGAGGGACACTAACGACATCAAAGGATAGAGTGTCTCTTAAGGAAGTGTTTGCTTGAGATTTCTGAGCCAGCCAGACCGCTGGAACAGAATCACCTTTTGGTCTCACAGCATAGACCACGGATGGAGAGCCAGCTTGGTTGGCAACTGTTCAAGTCTGGCTTTGTCTATATCAGAAACTCGGCAACTCCAGCCTGGCCTTGGCTGACCCGGAAGTGCAAGAATAAAATATAACTCGAACACGGGGCATCTTCAGATACAGCACAGCAAGGGCTGCTGGCTTCCCAGGGGCCCACGGCTATGATTGGCACTCTGGAGGCAGGACTTCAAACATGCCCTCAGCCAATCAGCATGCCTGCTGATGCCCACTGAAGGAAGAGCTACTCTGGGAGCAGGGAGAGGATTGGTCAGGTGAAGACGGCTAAGCGGGGAAGGGCCTGGGCCTCGGCTCAAGGGGAAAGGGAAAGGCTGTCCAGCCGTCCAAAGTTCAGGTGGGAAGGAGGCCAGAGTTCAGCAGGGAGACGAGGACATCTGGTCGTAGTCTGGGCACTTGAGCAAAGCCGGGTAGTTGCTGTTCATCTGTAGGGAGGCATCGCTGGAGATGTCTGAGGGGCTGCGGCCCCGGATCCAGGCGTCGGGATGTAGAAACTGACCAGAGTAATCGGAACAGTTGCTTAGGCGTGGCCGGTAGAAGCCCGGGTGAGGTCGATACATGTCCTCGGCAGTATACCTCTTCATGAACAGGTACACAGACATTACCCCAGCACTCTACAGTGAAAGAGGAGCAGAGGGAGAGCTCAGTGATGGGGCGGGGTGGGGGGGAGGACTGGTAATGTCCTGGCTGGGTCTTCCTGGAACACAGTCAAAGAGCCTCTCCAACGGGAGGGACAGTGTGCATGGGACAGGAGTGGGCTCTGGGAACCTCATAATAGAAGAGACCCGGGAAAGCCAGGGAGAGGTAGAATCTGGGGACGAGTGGTAGAGTAGGTGGTCTAGGATACTGTGGGATGCTAAACTCCTCCCTTCCGGGTAGGGCAGTACCAACTTGGCACAGGGCGGTATGGGGCAGGATACCTCTGTTAACAGGAAGGAGATGGCAGCGAAGGCAAACGACCATCCATATTTGTAGCTGAAATAGGTCTCTGCATCCTTGGTCCTGTTGAGCATCTCATCATTGATGCTGGAGATGTACAGCACCAGGCCCACCACAAGAGAGAGGCCTGGATGAGGGGAGGGGAGAGAAGGGCACGTTCAGCCTGGAAGGCCAGGGAGTTGGCCAATATGGTACCGCTGGGATCCAAGCCTTCACTTTGGAGCTCCAGAGTGAGCATGAGTTTGCCTCCTGATGTCTCTGTCTACACCCGCATCTTCTAGGGAGTTAACAGGTGTAAGTACGATATCTCCCTGTCCAACCGTTCTCTGAGCTGAGACAAGCCCAGCGATGGATATACTGACCTCTGTTGCAATATCCTTCCGTATCCTTGTTCACTGGGCCTCCTCTGGGCTCCTGGCACTGAATTGTCCTGAAACATTGTTATGATCCTGGGGTGTGAACCCTGAGTTATTAAGAGGATTTTTATTAATGTGAGGGCTAAGATAAGGCTTGTCTGCAGGGCTTCTAATCCCTGTCTCCAGCAGGGGATGGTACCTTTGTCACTATGGCCTGGGGCCTCTGCAGACCACTTGGTAACACAGTGTGTCCTCTCTGAGATCTTCAGCCAGGAGATGTAAGGGAAGTTTGTTCAGATCCTGGCCAGCATGAACCAGGAGGCTACTGGGGCCCCAAACTCCAGCTGCCATTGTGCACGTGACTGCCTCAGGCAGCAGCTCCACCAATTAGCGAGTGTAATTGAGTCGAGATGTAATTAATCAGTCTCCACTAAACTGGCCAGGTTTCAGGCCATCCACACTGTTTTCGGAAATTGGGGCCTCTCCAAGGATGGATGTGAGAGGGAGATAGACAGGTGTGATTCAAACCTTCCCCTGTTCTTAGCTCAAGTGTGAGTCACTGCTGCCCTCAAACGTCCCTCTGTTGTCATGAAGTCCATGTGTCACCTCCATCCTAGACTTATGGTCCTGTGATTCACTCACTGTTGGAATCTCAGGCATCCTGATCTCCGATCATTTTGGCTGCTTTGGAGTTCACGGGAGGAAAAATTAACAGCCTGGCCATGGGTTTGCCCTGCTCTGGCTAGCCGGAATACTACCATAGCAATGCTGGCCTCTGATATTCCAGGTGTTATTGGACTCATTTCGGGGATGAAAGAGTGGAAAGGTGGACTAGAAGGGAGAATGCATGGCGGGTGGGTTGTTGGTAGGTAGAGCAAAAAACCAGATGGGCAGAGGAGTGTGTGTGTGTGTGTGCGCATACGTGTGTGTGTGTGTGTGTGTGTGTGCACATACGTGTGTGTGCGTATGTGTGTGTAAGAAAAAAAACAAGGAAGAATGGTTCTTATGGGTCAAGTAATCTGCCTTCCACCTGATTTAAAGATTATGCTGACAGGGAAATGGGGGAATGGTCCTAAAGGGACTGGCAAGCCAGTAGGTAATAAGGGTGCCTATGCCAGAGAATCATTTTTCCTTTATTGTCTTATAGCTGTTCACAAACCTTTCTATCCATCCATCTATCTGCCATCCACCCATCCATTCATCCATCCATCCATCTATCCATCTATCCATCCATCCATCCATCCGTCCAGCTACTGTATCTATTCATCCTATTCAAACCACCTACCTTACGTTCTACCTGGGCATCAGCTCCTAGAACTCTATTCCCCAGACAATTCAAGGCACTTACAATGTGTGCCCCAAAAGCCAGTCCATTATTCTCTAGAGAAAAGGTCTCCCTGAGGTCCCCGGGGAGAAGGCACCGGTCTTATCCACCACACTCCTTTGCCTTCTCACACAATTCTCTGTCACTCATGGTTCACACGTTCATCCTTTGGGGCTGAGAGCTCTCCAATCTTTGTCTTCGATTCAGGTGACTCCGTGAGCCTCCAACCCCTGATGTCTGGGCGCCTTCTAGATACCTCTCCTTGGTGCCACAATGGACACCTCACACTCAGTGTTTCCCACACTAGTCTTACAACATTTGTGCAAAGCTGTTTCTCTGTCTGAGACTCCTAGATCATGATGTGATCTAGGAACGCCTCAGCAAGAAAACAGCGCTCATCCTTGGTGCCTCCCTGGACAGCCTAGTCCTGGTCCTAGTGAGTCTACCTTCCGGATGTCACAGGAGCCTTCCTCCTTCTTTCTGTCGCAGTATCACATCAGTCTGTGCCATTACTGCCCATCCCCTGTACCTTCCGAAGCCACTTCTGTGCAGGTTCCCTGGCTCCTGGCTCACTTCCCTTCCTCAAGGTTCCTAACAGCGTGAGTTCTAACAACCACATCCGATGCTCTTCCTTGGCTCAGAATCCTCTCAAGGCTTCTTACCAAGTTTCAGATCTCAAGGCAATTTAGGTGCCTCTGTAGTCTCCCTTCCCAATACATTTCCTCAGGCCCCCAGAGACTCCATGGGTTTCCAACACTTGGAGCTCTTCCATCTCCCCAGGCCCCTTTCTTCTCTCTAATTCTATCTTTGTCTAATTCCGATTCCCTACATAGATCAGCTTCTCCTCTAGCTTTCTCTGACCAACCCTTGTTCTGGATTTCAGCCACTAATCTGGGTCCCAATGGTGGTTCCCAGTGTCTCCGTCACAGTCTCCTTCACTCTGAGTTCCTATTTCCACTCGGCATGTTTATATCTTCCACTACCCTGACCTTTCAGTAATGCCAGCACCCAGAATAGGGTGTAATAGATATGGTCACTGACTGACTGACCGATTGACTGACTGACTGACTGACTGAATAAAATACAACTTGGTGATAGTCCCTGAAGATAGGTCTATATTGAAGGGGTCTGGTGAGCTCAGGATATGGTGTGTGGTTAGATTATGAAAACAGGACTCTCTGGAGGTAGCTGAGGATGAGGGGTGAAGGAACCATTGTTCCGAAGGGTGATGCATTTATTTTCCAAAGTCATACCTAAGGAGGCAGCCCTTTCAGACACAGGAATGGATACTCGTCAATGGGAGCTGGAGAGGAAGTGGTGGTGTATGGCCTGAAGACAGTTGCTGAGTTCCTGTTCCAGCTCTGCCCAGAACCCATCAGGTCACTCTAACTCTGAAGCCTCACGTGCTTTCTTTTGGAAGGTCATGGGTGGGTCCAAGGACATCAGAAGTCTCCTTTAGCCCTAACACGGCTCTGCCATGGCCACTGACTCAGATCATTCCTTGTCCATGTTGGCTTGCTGTCAAGAGGCTTCCCAAAGAAGACTTGCTCGGGAGCTAAAAGTCAAAAGTCCAGGGTGTGTGGAGACAGAACGACAGACAGAACTTACCTGAGAGGATAAAGAAGATGCCAGAGACAAAGGCCAGTATGGTCCGGTGGGGACGAATGTGCCCGATGTTGCTCAGGATGAACCCGATGAACATGAAGAAGAGGCTGACGAGCGGGAAGGGGGTGGCCGAGCGAATCATTTCTAATGCAGGGGGCAAAGGGACAGCCTGTCAGGCTACCACAGTGACCTTCCTTCCTCGCCTCATTCCGGGAAGTACGGTCATGCCTACCAACAAGTTCTAGGAGACCTGCTCCCACAAAAGTGGCCTAGGGGGTGCTCCTGGTGCGGGCAGGGCTTTTGTCTCCAGTGTAGGGCTTGCAAGGTCTGACTCCAACAGCCAACACATTCAGAGGTTTGCCTCCCCTTCAGGCATAAGCTCCTCTTCTGGGAATTTATACTGTCTGTCTACAGGAGAGCTGTAAGGGAGCCTGGTCATGTTCTCTTGTTTTAAGAGACATCCAGTCCACCATTTCTAAGGGCATGCTCTGAGGATTACAGGGGACTGGTGCTGGTCTCTTTATTTCTCAATTTATAATCACCTGGGAGGAGTTTTATTGTATACTAAAGAATTTGCTCTTTAAGCTGGGCAGTGGTGGCACAGGCCTTTAATCCCAGCACTCAGGAGACAGAGGCAGGTGGATCTTTGTGAGTTCAAGGCCAGCCTGGTTTACAAGAGCTAGTTCCAGGAAAGGCTCCAAAGCTGCAGAGAAAACTCTGTCTCAAAACACTAATAAAAAATAAAAATAAAAAGAATTTGCTCTTTATCTCTGTTTTCTGAGAGGCAACCAATAGAGTATCTTTGTTATTCGTGTGGGCTCCCAAGAGCAACCGAATTTGTGCTTACAGGATGGAGGCAGGAAAGAGCAACCACACTGGCTAGAAGATTGGGGCTTGGGACCATGGGACGTTAAGTCTGACCTCTGAGAAGGGAAGGGGCTGGCACTGAGCTTAGCCATTCACACGGTAGTAGCGATTAGCCAGTATTTAGAGGTCATTTGAAGTCTGCAGGACACGAGTGTTGGTTATATGCACATTGAGTATTAAGCCATTTTGTACAGCAGATCTGAGTGGGTAGCTGTTTGTATCCAGAGGGTCCTAGAACCAGCTCAAGGAGATGATCTGTATTGGGAACACTGCAAGTTCATGCTGAGAGTCAGAGCAAATCTGGTGATAAGGTCAGTCTTGTTACAGTCCAGAGAGGCTGCTTCAGGCTGGGTGTGAGTGTTCCTTCACTTCCTGGGGTCAGAGATATGGGGTTCCAGCAATCTCTCTTCGCCCTGGGAAGATGAGCCTGCCGCACAAGCACGAGGGAACTAGACCAGGGTAACCAGCCAAGGCCAAGGGTGCTAGCTCCTGAGAAGATTCGGGATGTTTGACTCTTCCCTTTGTCTGGCTCTGTCCCACTATTGGCCCAGCTTAGAACGTTCTAGACACCTACTTAGCACATTGACTGTGGATTCTGACGTTATCTGGGAGTTCATGGGCATCACATACTCGATGGTGAAACACCGTCCTCGCTCTTCGCCTGCGGAGACAAGAAATCACTGCCATTTCCGGGTCCCACTCCAACATGGATTTGAGCTTAGTACGTCCCAACAGCTTCTAGGATCCTTGGGCCTGTGTCTCTGTACCTGGGCTGGAGAAACACTCTAGGGAGGTTTTCATCCCTCGGCTGGTGGCTCCCAGCAGGGCATGGGGAGATGTTTTGATGTCACTTTCTTCCCAGAGTGAGGACAAAAGCATGGGAAGCGGTCAGCACTGAAATCTACACCCAGCAAGCCCCTGGTGCCAGCTGTTGCTTTTGACTGTGCCATTGCTGTCTCAGACACATGAGCGTAGGTTTTTGTACAATAACGTACCCCCCAGTTCCAGTCTTGTCAATCAGACCCTTCAAACTCTGCCTCTGGTTAGGCAGAGACGGATGCCCAGCATCTGGAGCAGGGGGAGATGAGGTCAGAGTTGGAAGCTATTCCTAAGATGGAGTCTACAGAGTGACACAGGGTAGTGCCAGAATAGCCAGGCTGGAGCCAGATGTGTCCTTTCTGCTAAACCGCATCCAGCCTCTGACCTATCCATCAAAACCCTAGCATCAAGAGGGGATGAAAAGTGCTGTGCTTTCTCTCAACACAACACAGGTTCCAGGATCCCATAAGAGAAGCTCAGGGACCGCATAGCTTACACAGGTCTTCTGGGACAGGGGGATGCTACTCTTGTGTAGGGTGAGACTTGGCTGTGATAAAGGTCTTGAGCACAGGGCTCTAGGTTTAGCGACTCACTTGGTTCTAGAGAAGCCCCAAGTCCACAATAGCAGGATCGAAATTTGCACCTTCCTGGAAAGTCCTACGTCTCTTTTTGCCTTGTGTGGCCATTTCACCGACAAAGGAACAGGAAACTGCTGAACATTTCCTGTTCTTTAATCTTGTGAACGTCAGTGAGGTAGCAGCCTAGATTTTCTTAGCCTGCTACAGTCTTCACTTCCGTATTGGTAAAGGGGCAATGATAAGCCTTCCTTGCAGTGTCATTGGGAAGGCTATGTGTCATCAGTGACGTGGGTAGCTAAGGTAAGGCCTGCGAGAGCTGTTTAGATTGTGAGCTGTCATTCAATGCTAGAACACAGAGTGGGAAAACCAGGCTTGCACGGATCTTTTAGTCGGAAAGGAAACCCTGGGACCTGAGAGAGCTTGCTCTCAGGACACTGTGAACCAGGGTCTGAGTTTGGGTCTGTAGTCTGCTGGCTGCTTGTAGCACTGCCCAGAGTCGGCGGAGATTGTCTATGCTGAACTGTTGCTTCCCGGCACCTCCTGGGTGTCTCTAAGTAGGGAGAAAACCCCTTGGGACAGGTATTCCCCAGGGAAGGACAGTGCTTACCGGCAAGGAAGCAGACCCGCCAGAGGCCCGAGTGCAGGGACATTTTGACCTCCATGCTCTGGTTCTGTGGAAGGATGATGCCTTCCTCCAGGTACAGCCAATAGTCCGTGCTGACCGCAATGCCCAGCAGGCCCAGGCCGCAGACAGCAAAGACACTGCTCAGCAGGGTCAGGGCCTTCCTCCCACAGGCGCTCATCTTCGGGGATGGTCACTGGGCAGCCAGCAGTGCTGTCTCACGGGAGCAATGGGCTATGGGGACAGGGAGAAGGTGTGAGCAGGAGGCGGTAAGCAGTAACTCAGGACAGTCTGCTCTGGTTCAGTGAATAAATAAGAGCAACTAGGCTGCTTCCTAGTTTCCAGACATCTCCACTGAGGGCGACCCTCTCCCTCTGCCCCTCAGGGATCCACAGCTTTCTCTTAAGGCTTGTATCTATCCCCTTGTCTTCTGAGTTCCCCTTCCTACACATTACCATCCATCATTCTGCCCATCCATCCACATCCTCCCATCCATCTGCCCATCCATCCATCCATCCATCCACCCATCCACTCATTTGTCTATCCATCTAGTCATCTGTCTGTCCATCCGTCTGTCCACCCATCTATTCATTCATCCATCCACCCATGCATGCATGCATCCATCCGTCAGTCTGTATGTCCATCCATCCATCCACCCATCCATCCACTCATTTGTCTATCCATCTAGTTGTCTGTCTGTCCATCCATCTGTCCATCCATGCATCTATTCATTCATCCATGCCTCCATCCATACAGCTATCCATACAGCTAAGCAACTATCCAGCCAATCAGCTACCCATCCATCCACACACCCATTTATCTATCCATCATCCATCCACCTATCTATCTATCCATCCACCCACCCACCCACTCACCCACCCACTCACCCATCCATCCATCCATCCATCCATCCATCCATCCATCCATCCAGTCAGCCACCCACCCATCCACCCACTCATCCATTCATCCAGTCAGCCAGTCAGCCAGCCACCCACCCACCCATCCACCCATCTATCTATTCATGCATCCCATCAGATATGAGAGACACAAAGATGAGCATTCTGCTCTTGCCCTTGAAAAACTATCCATCTAGAAAAATGGTGACCCCAAAGCAGTCCAATGTAACCCATTAAGGGCCATGGCCAAGACACCAGACAGGAAAAAATGGGGATCAAGTTCTCTGGTGGGTTCCTCTGAGTGTCAAGGTCTCTAAGGGTCTTCTGCTTTCTGACGCAGGCTCCAGAAGTGGGCAGCAGCCTTGGGGAGACACACAGGGCTAGAGAAGGATGCTTGCGGGAAGCATTCCTTGTGCGACTCTGATCCAATGGGAGACTGGGTAAGCACATGTAAAGCAGCCAGATCAAAGGTGGGTTTCAACAGCCCCCCAAATCCTTCCAAGTGAATATGGAATGACTGTTCCCTGCTTAGAGCTCCCCACTGTCCGGGGCCAGAGCTGAACCAGCCAGAGAAAAGCTGAGAATCTGCAAGGTGAGCCACGAATCCATTCTTGGAAGCCATGATGCCTGTGGGCTTAGGGAAGTGATGGAGGCTAGCCCTTCAGAGCTGCTGGCCTTGGGGCTTCTATACTGCGGCTGCAGCTAAGACTCCCCCAGAAGTGTCTAAGAATCCCTTATTCTGGGTTGCTTCACATAGTTTCATATGGCGTTCATCGGGACCTAATGATGACCTTGAAAAAGTATTCCCAGGTAATTGTAACACAAAGTTGAGAACAGATCTCTGCTGTGCCAAGTGCTTCCCATGGACCTGCAGCATCGGCATCACCAGGGAGCTGGTTTAAAGAGCAGATGCTGAACCCTTCAATGTTCTGTTATGGGTTAGGTCTGAATATTTCCCCATAGGCTCGTGTTTTTGAATACTTGGTTCTGAACTGGCAGTGCTGTTTGGGGGAGTTATGAAACCTTTATTATTGTGGTCCAGCTGGCAAAAGTGGGGCACTAGGGACCGACCATGAGATTATATCTGCCTCCGGTTCTTGCCTCTACAAGATGTGAGGAGGCTCTTCCACTGCCACAAGCTCATGCCTTCCTCCCAATGATGGATAGACTGGAGCCATGAACCCAAATAAATCTGTCCTTTAAGTTGCTCCTATTAGGTGTTTTGCAATAGTGATGAGAAATGTAGCTAAATCAATCTGCATTTTAAGAAGACCCAGATGAGTCTGCCTGCCCACTAAAGTCTGAGGAACACTGTGCCAAGTTAACAGGAGACAGCATTGCAGCGTGGCACCTGCTATGAGACAGTGTGACATCAGCCTTGTTAGATTCAGAGTCACCATGAAAACACACCTCTGAGGATGCTGTGAGGACGTCTTCAAAAGGCATAGCTGAAGGGGAAGACCCACCTTGAACATGGACAGAGGCATCTTTAGGGCAGGGTCCTAACTGAATAAAGAGGGAACTGAGCATGCTCCCTTGCCTCTCCTTGCTGCCTACAGGCACAGTGTTCTCAGCTGTCTCACACTCCTGCCATCACGATTTTACCACCACAGCGGACGGTGTCCCCTCAAACTGTGAGCCAAAACAAACTCTTCTTTAAGTCACTTTTGTTGTGCATTTTGTTACAATGAATGAAGTTATTGATCTGTAAAAAAAATCTCAAAATGTGACCCAAGCCCAGAAGAAGGCAGACAGAGTCACTTCTAAAAGATGCAAGCCTAGGGTGAGGAGGATGAGAGTTGCACTGATAGCATCCCTGCCACAGAGTTCCAATGGTGTGGGCAACTTTGAGTGTTACAAGGTTAGGGTTTGGAATGGGGCAGTGTGGCCTCGGCTGGGTCCACCCAGCCCAGGGCCTGGGTGGTGTCCCCACCCCTACTAAGGAATGAGGCCATGCTTTGGCCGAGAGCTAAGCATGGTTGGATGCCAAGAAACCTGAAAAGCTTCAGAGACCGGGTTTGTCTGTGAAGTTGCGCTCACTGCTGGGTGGCAGGGGACAGGGCGTTGGTGCTCTTTGCCTGGGAGGGGTCATCCCACAGCATTAACCCTGCCCTAACAGCTGACCATGGGAGAGTTGGGAGAGCTGTGGGAAGGACCACACACTGTGCTCTGGAGGTGTGTAAAGGTGGGGGATCTGCAAGGCAGAGTGTGGAAAGCTCAGGTCCTGCAACCCTTCCGACACTGGCTTTGACAAGGAAGGTAAAAGTAAAATAAGTCAGCTGTACGATAGTGGAGGGCTAGAGCAATAATAGTTTTTCTAGATGGGGGAAGGGGTCCTCTGGCCCTGTATCCTGACTCTGGAAGAATTGCATTGCATGGCACAAAGGTTGACAACATGGTTTACTTTCACCTACTCCAAATTTCCCCAGACTTATCCGTCCACAAAAGGGGTCCGGGAAACCCACTTTGGGGGCCATGCTGCTCCTCTAGAGAATAAAAAGACCTGTTCTGCCCCCTCCCCAGAATTGCTGGGGGATTAACTGCCGTGGAGGATAGGACTGTGGCTTGCAAAAGCCAAAGCTGGACCTGGTGTAGGGTATTATTTTTCAGTAACAATGGACTAAAACCCCACCTTTCGCAGAGCAGACAGATCAGGACGCCTGAAATACGACAGCTGTTGCCTGGCGGAAGCTGAGCAGCCAATTTTAATGTTAAGCTTGGCAGAGATGAGAAAGATTTGGGGCTTGGAGATTTGGAGATATGAAAGTGGAGAGGAGATTGGATCCGAATCAGTAAAGCAAAGCACAAGAGAAGAGGCTGAAGGTGACTTTGTCCAAGAACTCTACAAGAAAAGACCCTAAAATCCTGGAGTGTGCTTAGGCAAACCCCAAGAATCCCCTCCTTTTCCGGAGAATAGGACAACTGCATGGGGGTTGCAGAGAAATTTAGCAAATTCATTGCAAACATAATTATATTTTTATTATAGCATCATATTTATGTTTACTGACTCTCAATTACTTCCCAGAGCCCTTAGCAATCCCTTACAGTAACCCATGGGTAGGTATATTAATGTCATTTCATGGTTGGGGAAACTGAGGCTTAGAGGTGTCAAGCCTACAGAATACCATAGATGGCAGACTGAATTGAAGCCAAAGCCAACTCCAAACTCTCTGCCTACACTGTGTGGTTTTCTCCCGGAGAAATAAATGGGCTCAAGGAGTTTTCAGGCAGTGGAGAATTACGTAAAGAAGACATTCTAGAATCTAGAAATGCCTAAGACACGGGTCTTTAGATAATTTTCTAAATGATCGAGTATTACATAGGGATTAGAATAACGAATGTTTTGGGACTTCCTATGGGAAGCCGCCCCTGGGTGGTAGCTTCTGTTGTCATTTCCATAGTGGGCCACCGTGACTTGGCACCTCTGGTTCCGAAAACCATGCTGTAAGCAAGGGGACTAACACTTCCCTGGACCCCACCCAGGCAATCAGGTTCCAGAAGGCAGAAGTGCCAGAGCCAGACCAGGCTGTCATTATGAGGAACAAAAATGAAAATTATCAATGTCTGGACAGCTCTTTTACGGGAGTTCTGGGGATCTAAGTCAGTTTCTCAGGCTTGCTCCATAAACACGTCCCTCACTTGGTAAGCTGTCTTCCTCTCCCCAGTCTGTTCTGATGTCTGCTTCTCTGTCTCCTGACGTCCATCCTCTGCAGTTATAGCTTTTTTTTTTTTTGTCTCTGAAGAGAGAGGAGGACAATTTGTGTAAGTTTCTCCCACACGAGAGATGTTTACCTTAGGATGTTCAACGGACAAAACAGACTGCAAAACCACAAACTTAATGGACGCTTGACTCTGTGAAAAATCTACAGACTGGGGAGAAATAAACCAAGATATCAGCAGAAGATGCTCCGGGTAATAAGGTTATATGTGTTTTATGTTCTTTGTACTTTTCTGTGTGCTCCAGAAGGCTTCGAAAAGAACACACATTATTTCTCTAGCCAGAGAAGAACATGAGATTAAAGATTAAAGACATCAGTTCTCCAACCACTGCTGGCAGAAATAAAACTGAAGGGCGCCCGCTCCGTCCCGCACTGAAGCTGGCCCCGTGCGGTGCCGCCATCCTTTGGAAACTGGGGCCCGGGAGCACGGAGGTTTTGTATGGTTTCTGATGATTACCGGTGCCGTTACCTCTAAGTATTAGCTTGTTAATGATCGGGAATTAACGGCTGCTAATTATCATCTCTGACTAGCAATTAGAGAGAGACAACTTGTGGAGATTAAATCACTAATGGTACATTTCCCTGCCCAAGCCAGTCATGAAAGGACTTTGAGATGAAG